CTATGTGTTATATTTTATAGGTTGGAAATAATATAAGTGTTAAAAGATAAGCTTTATTATCATAATTCTTCTTTATTCACACATGAAAATACACAGTGATATAAAATGCACAAAAGAATCAATATAATAAAAATGAACTTTATTTCCCATAATCTTCTTCTTTTGAAATATTAATATTACAATCAGAATTACATAAAACAAAAGAATCAATCATCTGGTAAAAAATACACAATCAAATTCCTTCTTTAAAACTCCCCAAAACAAATCATAATCTAAAAAAAAATCCAAATTGATTGCCATTTAATATATATAAAATTATATAAATAAATATAAAAATTCACAGCTACAATAATAAGTATAACACAAAATATCGAGTCTATACGTCAATCTTTTAGTAGATCTCAATTGACACATTTTTGTCAAACATATAAAAAACGCATGCATAGAATAGAGTCTCATTCCAAAATAACCAAAAAAATATTACTTAAGGAAATTTGTGCAAATGTATGTCACTGTTGAGTTAAAGCAGAGCTCCATGGATCTAATATATCTAACTCGACTCACAGCACAAGTCCATCGTTCCAATATTATTAATATAAGGTCAGTCGAAGAATACCGTGGAATAAATCTCTTTATCCCGGCTCTTGGATACCTATGGCCAGCTGACACAGGTATTTCTGATATAAGGAAAAGGTCACTGAAAGAATTAATAAGGAATTATTTAATAAAAGCTCAATGCCAAGAACTTCTGAGACAAAAAATTAGTAAAATACTTCTTCCATTCTCTAAATACAAATTATAATGGATTCTTATGTCTCAAATAGAAGCTGAAAATAAGATATTTGAGGAATCCGTATTAGTGTCGTTAAACGGCCCGTTTTGAGCCGATTTAAAACGGCTAACTCAGTATTTCATCTAGAAAAATATTACGCAAGACTGAAGATTTTGCCTATAAGAAGGTACAAATGTCTTGACATACATTACCGAAATTTATAGGCTTTTGGGGATATTTTTTTGGCTAAAATATTGAGTTTAGCCGTTTTAAAAAATCCGGCTTTAACAACAATGATACGTATAATTCAATTTTAAAATGAGTTATCATCACTTACGAATTTTTTTGTTGACAAGTAGTTTAGAAGGGTCAAAATGTTGCGAAACTATCTTAGTGTTGTTAAACGGGTCGATTTGAGCATTAAAAACGGCCAACTCGATATTTTAGCCAGAAAAATATTGTCTAACACTGGAGATTTCTTTAATACATTATCAAACCTTTGCCACCTATGGCAAAATCTTGAAGGTTTGCATAATATTTTTCCAAATAAAAAATATTTAGTCAGCCGAAATGAGTCGTACAACGCTCTACCTTTAACTTTTCAATATAAACACCGTAAATTTGGCCATATTTATACCATATAATTTGTCACCTATGTTCATCTTTTAGAAAATTTTTCACCCATAAAAATATTTAAAAAGACCTATTATTTTATATTGCTCTCCGCGCAAAATGGATATCATTTCAGCACATATGTTTTTTTTTAAAGATGGCAAATCATGAAGTAGAATCAATCATGCTGATAATAATTTATACGATAAATATCCTCTATTAGTATGTTTCATCGCCCTAAAAAGACAAAATAAATTTGGGAAATTAACATCTACTTCAACTTCCAGAAGAAGAAAATAAAAATTCCCATAGGAAATTTTTTTGTATTTTGTGATAATAATAATTTTTTTTTGTTTTAAAAAGAGTCGAAAAAGGTCAAAATTCTTTCTTTCTTTCTTTCTTTCTTTCTTTCTTTCTTTCTTTCTTTCTTTCTTTCTTTCTTTCTTTCTTTCTTTCTTTCTTTCTTTCTTTCTTTCTTTCTTTCTTTCTTTCTTTCTTTCTTTCTTTCTTTCTTTCTTTCTTTCTTTCTTTCTTTCTTTCTTTCTTTCTTTCTTTCTTTCTTTCTTTCTTTCTTTCTTTCTTCTCTTTCTTTCATCAATTATCGTCAAAAAAAAATTATCGGCAGAAAGAGATCTATATTTTATTTAGGTGGAGGAATTGGGAATTGGTGGGTGAGAGTTATAACATTAATCTTCCAATAATTTGACCTGTTTTCATATTAAAAATTTTATGGTTAAAAAAAAATAAACAATATCGACCGTTTTGAAATCATCAACAAGTTTTGTGTGATATAAGAATTTTTTTAATGCCCAAAATACCATAATCTCTTTTGAAAAATATTGTCTAAATTATTTTTTTTTTTGGCGACAAAAGTAGTGTCATGTGTAGTAATGAACTATTTCAAATTTATTTTTTGAAAACTTCTTAACTGTTAGGGGTGGGCTTTTTGAACAGTGAAAAAGGGGCTAATTTCGTTCTCTCCACTGTAGCCCTACGGTTAGCGTTGTTAAACGGCTATATTCGAACCGATTTTATAAAAAAAGACCAACTCCATATTTTTAGCCGGAACAAAATATTGCCTAAACCTCGAGATATCGCCAAAAGATGTGCAAGCCTTTATGCCATCTAAGATCTAAATCTTCAGGATTGCGTAAATATTTTTTATGGACCAAAAACCTTTTAACAACACTAGCTAACGGCACTCCAAAAGTATTTACAAAAAAAAATACAACTTCATTTTATTACAATAATAAATTAGAAACAAACCAAAATTTTTCAAAAAAAAAAATAAGAATGAACGAAGGCTATTTAAAATGGGAAATAACTTTATATATATAAATCATGTACGATAGAATTTTTATTTTTATATGTATATTTTTATATTTTCAAATTATCTTCTAAAGTAATTGTTATTAAACGGCTAACTCAATATTTCGTCCAAAAAAAATATTACGCAGGCCTTGATGATTTTGCTAATAGAAGGAACAAAGGTCTAGAACATATCTTATCGAGAGGATTAGGCTCGAATCCAATATTTTTTGTATCAGATATCTTGGCTGAAAATCTTGAAAAAATAATCATCTGAACTTTAATAAGAACTGGTCAAAATATTTCATAGAAATTTGCTCGAATCCAATATATTTTGTATCAGATATCTTGGCTGAAAATCTGCTGAACTTTAATAAGAACTGGTCAAAATATTTCTTAGAAATTTGCTAAGACTCAGACAGGCTAATATTTTATAGTGTCAGAATCTCTTGGTTGAAAATATGTATCAATTTTATTAAGATTTATAAATAGTAAGAAAATGTGACCTTTTTAAGTTTTTGTAAAAAAAAATTTTATTAAGAAAAAAACGTTTTTTTCCCCTTATTGTAATAAATACCATAAATTTTTTACAATTTAATATCCTCAAACTAAAAAAATCGCATTGTATACTATATGAATAAAAGATTTTTTTATAATATATATATATATATATAATAAAATTAAAATTAAAATATGTGTTTAATTTTATTTATTTTTGATTAAGTTTATAAATATAAAAAAATTTTAAAAAATTTTATATCTATTTTTATTTTTTTAAAAGTTAAAGAAAGGAAGGGAAATTAAATTTTTTTGAATTTTCAAATGAAGCGGATATTGAAAATTACCGCTTTACCTTTTCTCGAGATCAAATCAAATAAATTTGTTTCTTATTTAGCGGTTTTTTTTATGCAAGTCCGACCCGGCCCGGGTTGAATATACCCGGACCGGGACCGAATTCCTTTTACCAAATATTTGAAATCGCTATTATTAGCTATGAAAATCATAAATTAAATTAATATAAAGGTCTGTGAATATTTACATCATTTTTATAGCTCTATAAGGTATAATAAATTATCTGAATCCTTGGGACCTTCTCAGAAAGATCCCAAAAAAATAAAAAGAAACAGCTTAAGAGTTTATTTCGAGAGAATACATGCCTGTGCTTAGTTTCTTTTCGTTTTGGGGGAAAAAAAAACTTCCTGCTTGGGCAATCAAGTAGTGTTGTTAAACGTCTCGTTTTGAGCCGATTTTTAAATCAATCACTCAGAAAAATATTACGTAAGTTTGAAGATTATAGATGACACAAAGGTCTAGATCTCAACTAGCGAAATCCTGAGGCTTGGACAGTATTCGTCTGGCTAAAATACTGAGAAGAGCCATCTAACAACACAACATTTAAGGATTAAAGGAATATAAAACAAAAATTAAGCATTTGAAAGAAAGAAAGAAAAAAGATTTAAAAATAAGTTATAAATTATTTTTACGAAATTTGTATCTTGATTGATATTTCTCAATTTTATTACGAGCGTAAATTTATGTTTTCGAATAATAAAAAATATATTAGAATAATTTAAAAAAAATAGAAAGAAATTATATCATTTATTCTTTAAACGAAATAGTAACTGATGACTTTTATACAATGTATACATGTCACGATAATATGAAAGTGTTTCAATTTCAAATCATCTGTTTTTTATAATCCTAATTATTTGAAGCTTAGGATGGAAAATCCTCTGAGATTTCTATTTGCAGTAATGGTCGAGTGTTTGAAATATAAAAAATTAGGAGTAGATTTGATGATGTCTTTGATTGATGTGTCTAGAGATAGATGGCCATTGGTTCGCAAAAACAATCATATGATAGGCGAATTTTATTTTTGATTGCAATTAGTTTTTGTAAAGTATTATTTTTTACATACACTTAAATGCCATTTAAAAGGCTTACAATTTTATTTTATACCAAGGTGTTATAAGGTAATTTGTAACATTTATAGCACATATATGTTAAAAAAAATTTAACTTGTATAAGAATAAATTATCAAAAGACGGCTCGTTTAATAATGAACACCGTTCAAACAACTTGGAGAGAGATTGTTAAAAAGAAAAACCTGATAATCGCAGTTTACCATTTGTTCGCTATTTTTCAAAAAAAAATTGTATAATAATTCTATATCGATTTTCGGATTAAAACCGCTAATCATATTAATCGTAAGTTTCTATTTCAGAAAACACCCTTTACTGCGTACTTCAAATTACTTTGGGTTAAGAATAAATTATTATAAGACGGCTTGTTTAATAATGAACACCGTTCAAACAACTTGGAGAGAGAGATTGTTAAAAAGAAAAACCCGATAATCGCAGTTTACCATTGGTTCGCTATTTTTCAAAAAAAAATTGTATAATAATTCGATATCGGTTTTCGGATTAAAACCGGAAATCATATTAATCGCGTAAGTTTCTAGGTCAGAAAACACCCGTTACTGCGTACTTCAAATTACTTTAGATTCAAGATCTTTCGGTTTCGAAAGTTCTCTCCCTATCAAATCGGCACGTGATTAGGGCTTTAAAAGCTTTCCTGAATCTTTTGTTGTAGACGGCGTATATGATAGGATTGAGAGCCGAGTTGAGGTAACCCAACCACGTGACAGCAACGAATAGTTTCACGGGAATGCAGTAATTGCAGAATGGGTGAATGATGAATGCAAAGAAATAAGGTGTCCAACAAACTAAAAACGCTCCTAAAATTATTCCCAAGGTTTTTATGGCTTTCTTTTCCTTCGATAATAGGTCTCTGTTGCTTTGTATGTGGGCGTAAACGCTTTCCCGTTTCATTTTCACTCTAGTGGAGCAATGAGAAGATGTTGAAATTGAGAGCGACCTTCTACGGTCTTTATTTGTTCTTGCCTTACAAATATCGTTGGGAACAATTTCGGGATGGATGCAATTAGTATCCACCGCTTTTCTAGATTCGCGGTACGCTTCAATATCACCGTCATTTTTATTATTCATACGCATCGCACTTTTGATGGGACGATTCGGAGCTTCTAGAGAATTGTCGAGGATTAAATGAGCGACACTTTTTCGCTTGTCCAAATAAGTTTCCGGTATCTTGCTCCTATCTTCGTCTTGGTTCAGATGGCACGGACCTGACCAAATCCGAAACCCCGTGTCGCGATATCCGTTTTCTTCATTTTCCTCGCACATAATATTCTCAGTTAAAATAAAGCTCCCGCTTTTATTGTATGCGCGTTTGTATCTTGAAGGGTTTTTAGTAGTTCCCACCGCGTTCCCATTTCTACAACTCCTTTTGGTGATAAAGACCCAAGCTTTAATGAATTGTTCTGCTATGCAGGATAGTAACTCACGTTCTACTACAATAGAAGTATGGCTATGATTACGCGCGTGGAAATTATTCGCCTGTTCAAAGTTTCGGGAATCGCCTTGTAACGAGGTTTTAGCATTCAAGAAAAGGGAGTCTAAAGATAATAGATACGATTCGTTCCTGATATTGTAAAGGTTATGGCATATGCGAGAAGACAAAGATTTCGTGTACAATGGGTTATTAAGACAAGCTGAAGATTTTGATTTAGAGCTTGTTACGTTATCATTGATAAAATTTCTCCGTTTAAACCACCTACAAAGGTACGCGAAGAAGACCCATGGTTGATATTTCTGTAATTCGGGCTTGATATTCCAGATGCTGCCATGATCTACGGTTGATCTCTTGGCTAGTACATTATTATCATTTTCGCAATTCTCGTAATTGTGCACGGTGGGAGAATTTAGGAAGGAAACCGATTTTCTCGACCTTTTATTCTTGGTATCCCTTTTCGACTGAAGGGACATGGATTGATGTGCCGCTAGGTTGACATTGCTCAAAGTAGATTGGTATTGGTTTATCATGGCGTTTAAGTGATAAGTAGCGATGCCGTATATCTTCCAATAAACCCACATCGTGACACTCATAGGTAAAAGAAATCCGGCCAAGAATACTATGGACGCGAATGTAGGGGAAAGCCTGGAAAGATAAAGACAATTTTGGTGGCCCAAAGATAACGGTCTCATGTGAGAAGTAAACGGTAATGAAGTAAAATTGGAATAGGTGGCGGGAGATAATTTCGGGAAAGGGTGGTGTTTATCGGTTACCAAAATATTGTCGTCTACGACACCGTTTCCTCCGCCCATCCAAGTAGGATATTCGTAATAATTGTTCGGATAGGAATAATGGTGAACGTGCAATTGCCTTCTTCTCATCAATGGCACAACATGGAAACCGGAACCGCCACCCATAACATTGTAGGGATACGCGCTACTGATGTACTTCATATTTTCACCGCTTCTTGATAAATAGTTGCTCATTATTGCTTGGTAACTTTGTTCGTAATTATTATTCATGCCGTTATGCGGGTGACCATGTTTAAGATAATGTTTCAAGCTTTCCAGATCCACCCTGTTACCGTTGTACCTGCCTACGTAATGGGTGAAGTAATACGCTATGACTATGGATAAGGTCCATATCCCGCAAATAGCCACGATTACTAGGCATCTTAGGGTTTTTCTTATCTGAATAAATCTCAACGGAGAACTTATCACTATGTACTGTTCAACGGCTATGAGGCAGATATGGAAGATGCTGGACTGACAGGATATGAAGTCCAACATGACGTAAAAATTGCAATAGGCAGCTGGGAAAATCCATTTCTGGCATATGAGATCGATCGCGGCGAATGGTAAGACGGTTATAGCCACCAAAAGATCCGCTAAAGCTAACGATGCTATAATTCCGGTCCTGATGGATTTCAAATCTTTACATTACAAATGAAAAAATGATATAATATTTAATTTCCCCAAAGAAAAAATGAATATAGATATGATTATAAATCTACTTTTAAATGCCAGCACAGAGATGACCACCAATAAATTACCGCAAATCATGCATAATATGATGGAGAATATAGGAATTCCGAGGTAAAGAATCCTTCCAATTTCCTCCCTGCAATGCGACGAGTGACTCAGGTTATACGAGCCAGCTGTAGACAGAGTCGGAAAGATACTACTCGTAGTATACGATGACTCTTGCTTCCTATTATTATTCATCATCATCCATTCATGAATATTTTTTGGTTTTTTAAAAAAATCTTTATTTTATATTTTAATAACAAAAAAAAATTTTTTCCATTAATTTTTCGATTATTATTGATTGTTCACTTGTAAAATTGTCCAAAAATTAAAATATCTTGTTTTAGTGTAAAAAAAAAAATTTGTGACTATGAATAAGATGATGATATATTATTCCTCAAAAAAAGTGATTTAATATTTTTTTTAATAAAAAATTTTGTTTAAGCAGTTTTTATAGAGATATAAAGACGAATTTGAAAATAAGATAAATCAATATAAACAAGTTTTTTTTTCAAATTGTGAATTTTTTTTTGGTTTTTTTCTTTAAAAAATAAATATATTTTCTCCTTTTCCATCGTTGGAAAAGAAAATGGATTAGGAAGAAAAGGTTAAGATTTATTAATATTCATGATAATTTTTTATGTTTTTTATTTATATATATAAATAATAGCCAATTAAAAGGCAAAAATGTCATCATTGTTATAATAATTATATATAAATATATAATTTGAAACGAAAGGAAGAGAGAAAAAAAAAATTAAAATTAAAATATAATGAAAAGGAAAATATATAAAATAGAATAGAATTTTTTTAAAAAAAAATGAAGAAAATAATAATAATTAAAGAAAAGAGAAATTAAAAAATAGAAAAAAATTATATATATTTCAGAGACAAGGATTTTTTTTGATTTTTATAGCTAATAATGGCGATTTCAAATATGGTGTTAAAATATACAGCCAGGCCCGGATTTTTAAAAAAAAAAATTAAAATACGGCCCGACCAGTGTGCCCTGATCGGGTTTTATGGTCGGGCCTGCAGGTCTCTGAAATTATTTTCGATTCGCTTGGAAAGAAATTTGACACACCAAGTCACATTTGCCACAGTTTAAATTGAACTGGTTAATAATCACGACATTTTGGACCTATCCATCAAAGCATTCGGGCGGATGTCATGAAATAAATATTGATAGAAAATGAGTAATATGCTTGCACTATTAGCTAAATAAATTATGGAACATTTTGAGTCGACTCAGTTTAGAATTCAAACAGATCATTTCTATGGATCAGAACTTTCCTAGCAGGGACAACTCTACTTATAGATTTATTTAGAAATTGAGAACGCAAGAAGAAATGACTTTGGAAGAGCTAAATAGAAAGAATTGTAACCTAAAAAAAAAGATAAATTAATATAATGAAAATGAAAATAAAGAATAGAAAAGAAAAAAAATAAAAGAAAAATTAAAAAAGTCGACGAGGTTAACTCCCATTTAAGTTTAACAAGCTAATTAAATTTTATTTCAAAATTAAAATTTTTTATTTTTTATTTTTGATTGTGTAAAATATAAATTTTATTGTATTTTTATTTATTTATTTTTTTTTTTGATTTAGTAAATTTATTTATATCTAAATTAATTTCGTATAAAAATCACATGCGAAATTCGCGAAAATCGCCATTAATATCAATCAAAAAAAGGTCGAAAAGTTTATATTAACGAAATGTTACAAACTTACTACACAAACCAAACAATTTTTCGATATATTTTTTTCTTATTCTTAAAAATTTAAAACACATTAAAACTTTTCTTAAAAAAAAATTTAAATAATTAAAACAAAATGGGAGTTTTTTTTTTGAAATATTTTTTAAAGAAAATAAAAGAAGTTTTGAACATATGGGGATTTAAATTCCAAATTCTTTCTTAAATCCGTTCTGCCTATAAAAATTGGATAAGTTTTAAAGAAAAGTGCACCTTTATTATGAAGCCTTTCAGCCTTAAAAAAAACTGTGGAAGGCGGAGGAGAGGCGGAGGCGGAAGAAAACGATAGAGGTATTTTGCTTTCCTCGAACCCCTCCGCTTTATAAATCGCGGACCAAATTTATTCCGTAAATTTCTTTATCCATCATTCGAGGGAAATACCTCTCTAATTTTTATAATATATATTTTTTAATTTTTAAAATACAAAAATTTTTTAAATTTTAAACATATTTTTTTTTAACTTTACGATTAATTAAGACACATTATTTTTTTAAAAAGAAAAAAAAAAAATTAAGGATAATCCCCCTTAAAATCTAGAGAAGGATTTCAAATCCATTGAAGAATTTTAAATCCAGAAAAGGAAAGGATTTCAAATCCAAAGAAAGGATTTAAAATCCTAAAGGAAAAATTTTCACAGATGGGAGAATAGAAATCTAGGGTAAAAATTAATTTTTTTTGTTTTGAAATTGATTTTTATTAGTTGGATTAAAAAGATCGTTGAAAGAAGTTTTTCGATATTTTTTTTATTTTATTATGCCTTCGTAAATATTGCGAGTGAGTGAGAGGAGAAGAAGTCACTTTATGGTGGATATACGAAGCCCAATGACATATGATAAGAGCTAGACTGACCATGCGCTCATTAAAAGTGTCACATCAATGAAAGCTGGGGAAACCATGTGTCAACTTTATTAAAGAATTGCCCGATCATCGAGATAACAAGGAAGCAAGTTATCGATTTAAATAATTAGTTTTTTACGTGAGAATAATTACTATCATGGGTTACCAAAATGGCGGTTCCAGCTGATTTGCATTTCAGCGACGTTTTCGAATGCATTATTAATGGAGGCATCTTCCTAGGTATTATTATATGTCATTGAACGAAGCCAGACCATCTCTTAAAACAAAGAAGAAGAAAGAAAAATGTGTATTATGATCCAATTCATGTTAGCAGCTGCTTATCCCCGAATCATATGCCAAAACCGCTAAAAAGGAGCTAACCCAACCGTTAAATTTTTTTTGAACCGGTTTAAAACCGTTTTTGGATATATATATGAGACTCGCAAAAATACCATTAAAAAATCGACCCGGCCCGGTTTTGTATTTTCAGGCCCTAATTTTTTTAAAATATATTCGACCCGGGCCCGGGTATTTTTAAAAAATCCGACCGATCCGGATTTTAAGTAATAAAAACATTAGCCCGGCCCGGATTTATTTAAAAAAAATGTTTTTAGATCCGGCCCGGGTTTTGTATTCTAGGCCCTAATTTTTTAAAAATATATTCGACCCGGCCAGGGTATTTTTTAGCCCCGGCAAGTTTACAGGCGGGCTTTCAGGTCTCTGTTATATAAATTTATAACTTAGATCCACAATATTTGATTACTTTTCCCTGGGAAGTTTTTAAATAATCTTAAGAATTTAAAAATTTTTTCTCAAATTTTCCTGCTTTATTTTGATAATTTTTCATAATTTATTTTATTCATAAAATGGTAAATCTTATCGGAAATTTAATAATAACAGATAAATAGTTATAAAAACCTCAAAAAAAATATCATCATTTTTTTAAACCTTAATCTATACCGCAACGTCCATAATTTTAAGCGACCCTAACCGTAACCAAACTATAACCTACATAATTACCACTGAACCATAAACCAATCAGAATCTTTAAATATCGGTCCAGATCCTCCCATGAAATCGAATGGGATAATGGTGTATTTCTTAGCAGATCCATTTCTCAATTTTTTAACCCTTCCGATTGACTCCTGGAAAGCCACTGAAAGGTTGAAAGCTCATTATAAAAATAGAATAAGAAAAGTTCAATATAAAAATCGATAAAAGAGATACAGGGAAAAAGGATATAAGGGGATTTTAGAAAAGAGGAATATCTAAAAAAAAGAAGAGAAAATTAATAAAATAGAAACTATGGAAGGAAAAGATCTTCTATTAACAAGGTAGTATAACAAAATCTGGCTGTGCCAACTGGCTGAACCCTTTATCCGCATTCGTCAACATGGAAGATTATTTAAATGGAAGAGATAAAACTTAGATAGTTAGAGAGTGAATAAATGGCTGTTGGCGGAGTTCTTTGCCGGAAGAAAAAGGATTCTTGAGGGCTGATCGGTTTTTTTCCCCAGAATCCGTCTCTTCAATTCCCTTTAATAGAAGCAAAAAGCATTGTGACCATTTTATATAAAATTATTTTCGGACACGAAATAAACATTTTTGAAACTTCATTTTATCAAAAATTAACCAAAAAAAACATATATAAATTATTAATGACTCAAAATTATGTTTCTTTCCCTTCATTAGTGCGTTATATTAATTTTTGACAATAATTAATGATATCTCGTGTGAAATGAATAAAGATTGATATTTTTTAAAATTGTTGGCAAAAATAGGGGATAGTTTAATTTATATGCCAATTAATCTTGCCATGTGCCACTCTTAAAATAAATTATACCATTTGCTTCGCTGATCATTCCTGGGAATAAATTTAAAAAAAAATAAAATTATTAAGATTTATAATTATTTTTTTAATTTTCGGAATTCCCGCCCAAAATATTATCGTATCCTTCGTAATGATTGGTTGGGTGAAGATGGAACCATTTACTTCTCATAAATTAAAATGATTTAAAAGATATTTTTTTTTAAAGGAATTAGTGTTTCCTCTTTTAAAGATAATTCGTTTATTTTTTTTCTTTCTTCTTCTTTATAAATGTTGGTAGAATTCTTTCTTTGGGTTCCAAGAAAGAGAATAAGCTATAGCTTTACTAGCAAGATTTTTAAATCATCATATTTAACCGAGGTCTGTAGGAGTCAAAATTTTCCCAGACCGGCTCTGATTTAAAGAATATTTTTTGGATTTTTATTTTGGATTCATTTTACCTCACAGTACCTAGAATTTCTAACGTTTTCTGTATTTTGAATAATTTTAAGCTGCATTTTGCGATTTCGAAGGATATTTGTGATACCAATATCTTTTATAAAACGTGATATTTCATCTCATATTACATATGTTTGAGATAGCAAGTTGTCTAAATTTTATAATGAAAGTAAGGGTTGTTGAGATCAACCAATCAGAGGCTGGCAATTCCTTTTGTACCAATCAAAAACGAATATTTAAACCCCCCTTTATATAATTTTCTAAGTGATTAATAATTTAGATTTAATTTTTTTAAAAAGGCCAGTTTTAAATAAATTTTTTTAAGAATCTCTAATATTTAGTAACTTTAAAATCTCCAAATTTATTCCATTTACTTCCCTTCCCAAATTTTTGTCTATAAAAAAAATTAATCATTATTGAGGTCATAGATTAATACAGTTACTTTTTTAACAAATAAAGTAACTAGTTACTTTACTAGTATCGAGTTATTTTGGCAAAACATATTTCCCACAATAGGCAAACAATAATATTATTTTCGAATATATTTTTTTTTAATA